AACAACCAATCAGAATTCAGATGAGAAAAAAGTGGCATAATCTTTTTAAAAAATGTATTAAAAACCTTACAAACGTAATATTAAACTGGATAGTGATCTGTCGTGTTGTAGAAATGTTTCCCGGTTTCTCCGAGGATAATCTGCAGAGAAACTGTACCAAACCCGATACGTGCATTCATCGATGTGGCCATAAATCATGGTATTTTGCGATCCATTGACATTCCTGATTCTTTTCTTCAACCTCCCCCAATCGGATGAATGGTTTAAACGTTGGTGAACATAACCTAAAGATGAAAACTGTTTATATCCTCTCCATTCCCCAGTATGTATGGTCGTTCCTGGCAATACCAAGCGCTGAATATGATTAGAATTAATACTCTGGTATTTCTATTTGGTATTGTTCTCACAAAGACTTTGAGAAGTGAAATGTTGTATATTCCAAGCGTCCAACATTTGGTTAGCCCTTCTCCTTCCCCTAAAATACTTCTTCTTAATGAGGACAGCCGCATCAATGTGAATAGGCACTCTTACTCCTCTAAGACAGCCCGTAATCCCCTCCAACTTCCATTTCACTATGTTTCTACAATGCTGAAACAATTGCACTGTAGAGACTGGGCCATTTCCTGTCTCAGCTGCTGCTGACCCTACAAACCTTTGTAAAATCCAACAGTACATTGGCAGTAGGATACCCGACAAAGACAGCTTAGACTTGAAAAAAGTACCTAAGGAATAAATAAAATACTGCACCTACACTGACGAATAGATTTTCTCTTAATGTGGCGTATGCTACTGATAAGATTTATCAGTAGCACATATATATAAAGAGATGTTCACAGGTATAAAACATCAAAAGCAGGGAGATATATTTGATGTCAGAGAAGGCAAAGGATACAGTGTTGCGAAGATACATGGGAGACGTAAAAGGAACACAAAGAAACACAATATGAAGGAAGGCCAGAAGTAGCACAACACGGAAGATTTATGCAAACGGTGCGTTGAAGATTAGGTGAACATAATTTTGCTACATAGGGATACCGAATTGCAAATTAACATACTTTAACGAAGTCATTTGTTTTTTAACTTTACATTATGGTACGAATTACATCTATTGCAGTATTTGTCCCCAGCATGGTTGTATTCCTTTATTGTCATAATCTCTCTACGAACTCAACTCTTCGTCAATCCAATTAATCAATTATTAACACAGTAGTTAAATTTAATGACATTAAATCGTTGGAGGCGATAGGCAGGAAGCTTTGAACTTCGGTTTCTTGCTAGTTGGCACTCGTCAGCCAGCCATATCTGCGACCTTGAAAGAAAATTCATGTCCTTTCTGAGATCCGAACCCTCGCACCCAGTGCTACCAGGAGTCAGAGACGGGCTCGCGATTGAACTGTTTGCTGTAGGACTGTATTGGATACTTAGATCGGACACTAGTAACTAGTGTGATGTGTCTAGTTCTTTGTTTGCTGCAGACTGAATTCTGCCGATTGCCTCCAACCACCTAAAATCATCAAATCTATGTGCACCGGGAATACGAGCTACCTAGAATGGTGGCCACATTGCAAACCTGACTGATAGAATTCAGTCTGTACCAAACAAATGACTAGACACATCACACTAGTTACTAGTGTCCAATCACAGAAGTTAAATGCTCGATCTTCGCGGAACTCAACCACATCCATAAACGCATGAATGATTTTTTATTTTTATAAATATTTGTATTCTTTAGAATCAATGCATATAGATAATTATGGACACCAATTTGACTGGGATAATGTAGAAATTTTAAATGGAGGAAACACTAAAAATACTGCCATTTAATTCCTAGAAGCCTGGTACTCAAGTGAATCAGCCATTAACAAATACATTACTATAGACCAAATTTACCACCTAATGAAAAGTAAATCATATGACAAGAAAGTTCGAATTCCAAGTCAATAAAATGATCAGTAGAGATATAAATCAACAACCAGTCACGACAATGGTTGCCAGGAGACATAATCACAACATTCATGGAGAGCTCAAATAAGTTCATCCCATACGAAAACCTGTGCTGAAAATATTGTCTAGTAGGACGACGAAATCTTTGATATTAAACCAAACAGCTCAGAGAACACAATTAATTCAAAATCATCCACCTGAGCTACAAATCTTGTCCATTACGCATGATTTGTATTTGGAATGACCATCCGGGGCATCCGATTGGTCCCTTAAAAGACCTTGATTGTGGCTACCACTTTTTAATTTCGTCTTGTTCTTTATCAGAAATTAGTCAGTAGTGACTTGGCGAATGATTTTAAGCTAAATCCCTCCAAGTGTCAAGTTTTCAATTTCACTTTCAGACGCAAGCGCGACTTAAACGAACTGGTTCGTCCCCATGATTCTAATATCATGGATGACACTGATGTTGAAACTAAATCGAGTGCGAAATACCTTGGATTGTGTCTTCCCTGATCTTCCGATAACATGCTAATTTCTAGAAGGATATTTTGGCTGACGTTTTACGTAAGAAAGTGAAGACGATCTAGTATCATCACGCAGTCTCTACTTTCTAAGTTTGTTAATTCTTATCTTCTACCTATTTTTTCTATATTACTTTCCTTTAATCTTTCCTGGGCTACTTAAGAAAGACTTTGTTACTAAAAGCTGTCGGTAGGGAGAGTGGGGTGATCTGCAAGCGAACTCATTAATACTGTTGTGGACATATAGTTGAATCCATGCAAGAAATTGGCAAATATCATGTTGTTGGACTATGAACACAGTCTCATTATAAGCAACTCTCCACTTGCATCTCATCAGGTAGCACTAGAAGACTTTATGTTCGGATGACTTAATATAAAAACTACGATACCTTACTAGGTACGCGCATATTTATGTGATGAGAGAAGTATTACACATGGAACTACTAACTTGCTACGAGGCTCTACGTGAACTGTCGTTTTTTAATCGTTCTTTCATCAATATATTGATGTTCATATTTTTCCACACAAATTTTAATTTCTGTTCATATCCTTATTGAACAATATTATCAATGTAAATGCCCTGCCTAATTATTTCCCCAGTTACTATGTAATATAAAGGGAAAAATAGATGCAGTATATTATATTATATGCTGAGAATTCCATATTGTATCAAATGGTATTGTTTGGAATAAAGCCATTATTATTATGTCCATAAAAATTAAAGAGTTATTGTTACTAACATCCTTAATGTGTTTTTTTTAAATAACTCTAAATCAATAAAAGAAAAGACTAGACACATCACACTAGTTACTAGTGTCCAATCACAGTATCAATAAAATCAGATTACAGTTCGGGGACATCTATAACTGGTAATGTGTCAATATAACGCTAGACTGAATATCAGATAAATGAAGGAAAATAATACACAATTTTATAAGTTCAACACCAGGCCAGGATAGCAGCAGTGGCTAGACACCTGTTTCTATTTGCACGCAGAGCTCCAGCTGGTTTAAACGAATTGCAGTGCTCTCTGCTAATTAGAGATTTTTGGCGATTTATTCGGTATCCGACAGATGATAGAAAATGACTCTTCAATGCTGTTAGGTGTATGGCCTGTTTGAACCAGGTTATCTAGTATCGAACTGTTAATGGTTTTTAATTACATTTTTATTTAGCCACATTGGTAGGTGTTCCTGAGGACGAAAATCAAAGTTCTTAGAGCAACAGGCAATATAACTGGTCCCACACGAGCATTTCAGCTGTTAGATACTTTTTTTTTTAATTTTCCAAATACTAACGGACACTAAACACAAATTATTATTACTGTTATTCTTATTATGACTTGTTATATAATTCGATTTCATGTGTTTCACATGATGATGATTTCATAATGAACTGTCTCTTCAGCACTAATCATTTTCCGTTTAAACCATTCTTCCAATCATTTGTGTTCCAAGTGGAACACAGGACTTTAGGCTCTGAAGTTTCAGAAGCGGAGACGTTGTTTTTACGAAGTGGAGTTGTTAACCTCACGCCCAACCTTCTCTCTTTTACGGTTGGACGAGGCTTAAGAGTGAATCGGCCGGGAATCGAAACCAGATCACCTGAAGCGTGGTTGGCGAGCATTCCATTTATCACTGAGGCTCCCGCTTAAAGAATATTATTCTTGAAGTGAACATTTACCTAAAATAAAATACAACTGTTTGAAAATACCCATTACGATTTTTCTGAAAATTGGTCATTGAACACAAAAATCTCTTTTCGATAACTTTTTCTTCAGATTCTACTAACTTGATCTGAATTTAACTTCACCTATATTGTGTGAATTCACGATGAACAAGCATCATCTGTTCGACATTATTTTTGTAACTACCTTTAACTGGTCATTATTCAGAAACCAAAGACGTTTCAGTGAAGTTAGTAATCAGCTACAACCACTGTATGATGGTTAATAATGCTACTTGAGTGGGTGGGGTATGCACCTGTGACCGAGTGACTGGAAATCCAGCGCCCAATCTAATGAGTTACAGCTCCGTGACTTACACTATTTCTAAAGTAAAACTTCCGACTTACAGCGAAATCACTTGGGCATAACAAAAAATCCATTTTAAATTTAAAAAAGCCAGTCTTTTTAAGACTAATGTCGACATCTCTACTTTAGCCAGTTTATCTAATGGATGAATTGACAAGTGTATGCCGATATTAAAGCAGCTACTACAGTAACTTTGACTCCAATATTTACATGCGACCGCGACGTTTTAAGAATGTTTCCGAAAAATCTTAAAATATTCAATACGAAAGCTGTACACGGATTTAGAGAAGGCACCAATTCGATTACATGCGGGGTAACGATCAAAACATAATTTACTACGAAGGACATAAGCATGCTCTGGTCAAGTTGAAGTTATTTGAGTTATGAAGCTAACAATAGAAAGGACAATCTTTCATCTACAGAGCTATCGCACTTCATTATTAACGTACCAAAAAGAAAGGAAAAGAACGATATTTTTAGATAAAATCATTTATTTGATCAAACTAAGCCTTCAATGCAGCTTTTGCTTGTTCCTGTTGAAGTTTCTGTTGATATTTAGCGATTTGTTCGCGATAACCATCCTGTTGTTTTTCTAATTCTTTTAATCTGTCATCCTGACGTTTTCTAAAGGTTCAGTCAAAGAAAAGACAGGTAAAAATAATCGATCATTTCTTACATTTCAGAATTTATATAGTTAATTCTTTTGCTGACGGTCTCTTTAGCTTCGGATAGATCCTGTTTGATTAAAACTGGACCAACAAGTTTATAGATAGTATTGGATTCGTTTAGGAAACCCAAATCTTCCATAACATTTTCATTTTCGGATAGTTGAGTAGACAATTGACGATGAACTTGATAACACTTTTGAATTTCTTTTTGTACACCTTGTGCTTTTTCTATTTCTGCGTTAAGACGCTTGTACAAAGTCTCCATCACCTAATTCGTACGGCTATCTGTATTAATTACCAAAGACAAATACCTGGAAATATAGAGCAAAGAAAGCGTAGCTCTGGTACAGTAACTTAGCAAAATGGCCTTATTAGAGCTATAAACAGAAAATTGAAAGAACATAAAAGTTGATGCCATGAGTTTATTGTTTTGACCAGTAATGAATCAAATACTAGTGTCGAGTCAGTTGCAATACGGGTCGTGGAGCTAATCAATTAAAAAGTCATTTCATAGAAACAAATCATTCCTAAGTGGAACATAAGGCTTCAACCTATTTTGAAGGTTCAAGTAACGGTGTTTTTTTAAGGTGGGGTGTTCCTAACCTCACGCCAAACCTATTTTTGTCTGTGTGGTTTACGAGGTTTAAGTGCGTCGGCCAGGAATCGAATCTAACTCTTAGCATTCTTAAAAATATGGTTAAGATTCTTTCAACTGGTTTTTCATACTTCATTTACGTTGTATTTATTGTTGACATTGAATTCGTTTATCTCAACATGAAACGCAATGTGATCCAACAGCCATACGTAAACGCTAATATATCAACGGAAACTAGGTAAACCTATTGCACGAAGGTTGATGATACTCTACTAGGTGAAATGGGATTTGAACTTATGACCCACTTTTATCACTTATTATTAAAACACAAACTTCATACATTATAACCACCAAGTAATGTACCACGAAGTCTCATACTTTGTGCGAGGGCTGGTATACTGAACAGATGCCCAGACCGAAGCAGGTGGTTGCCTTAAAGAGTCAAGTTCCCCGAGACTTTGACTTTAAGTCTGATCCATAAGGCAAGGGAGCCGCGTCCCCATGGATCCCGGTGACCACACCAGATTCATACACCACTCGATCCTTTCGTACTCCAGTGCCCATGTATACCATGGGTTTTGTGATCAAGATTTTCCAGTTTCTCTGGGTAGACCAGCATGTTCACCATTTCGGTTGTAAGCGCCAGACTTTCACATTTGCCCTTTCCCTTTTGTTAGAACCCCCCCCCAATACGTGAAGGCAGTGAATAGGATTTACTTGGCAGAGGCTACGAACGCATGATTACATGAAAGCATCTCGAGAGGAAGGTCGCCCCAGGTCTACCCACTCCCGGTTGTACCAGGCTGTTTAAGACCCAATACATAGAGATCAAATTTTATGACCGATAATGTCACACTTTTGTCCTAATTTATTTAAAATTATTGCGCGTAGAACAAGGTTCAAGCAAAACTTCATTCCTGGTGGAAATATTTATGAAAATAAAATATATTACATTGTATAAACTAGTTCATGAGTGGATTTAATGCCATATGAAAGCAATAATACAGAAACCAAAACACCGATCCCCAAAAGTTACAAATTTTTACACCTCAATATCATGATGAAAACAACCTCAAGCTCAATATAAATACCCATAAAACATCCTTTAATTGCTGCACAGTACACTCACTCCTTGACTAAGAGCCGGATATCAGGTCACGCCAGAGATGACGCAATAGGACCTATCACAATTAAAGGACTAAACCATTCCAGAGTCTGTCTTTATGCCAGTTAATTAACAACATAGAACTTAATGACTTTAAAGAACGTTAAGTAGGTTTTTTGAAACAAAGAATAAACGCAACGGAAATCTTTAGTTGACTCTGCACAATGAAAAAAACAAACAACAATGCAAACGAGACACTCGACAGCCACCAGTTCCCCTGGAGATGAGCTGAGGTACTTTCATTCCTAACACTCGGCAAATTAAAAAATGATGCCAGCATTATCATTGTGTTATGACACAAATGTTCACAAACTTATTGAAAATGACATCCTACTATCAAATTAGAAAAATTGGTTGACTGAGACAAATGTACCAGACCACAAATAGAACCATGAAGGATGCTAGGGTACAGGATGAATGAACCGACTATTAGTAGTTCTTTTTTGAAGGTATACTGCTGTTTCTGATACCTGAACATAAAAACCTACCGTTGACTTCAATTATGATTTGACAGACGGTGCGACCCATACTCAATGAGCTTTGATACCTGACTCCAGAAAAATTTCAATTCTTTTGTGCTTAAATATAGCGAGACTTAACTAAGAAACCATCTGTAATAGCCCATACGTCAGACAAGGTTAGCACAACTGAATTATCTGGACATTGTACAAAAAAAGATATGGGCAAGAAATGCAAACGAAGGCGAACATGCTGCAAGTTCCTTCTTTCTTCTCATTATGAAAGTAACATGAAGTGATGGATGTTGAATACTGCTGACAGGTATGCCTGCTTGCTTTCCGGATGATGTCCCTCATTCATTATATCCCCACTTTCTATATATACAGTTGTTTTATTGTTGGGTGGCGCATTCCTTGCTGTCCTTAATGTACCAAGTTTGTATTTTAAATAAATAATAAATGCAATAATGCAAACAATGGAGCGAACGCCAACCTTTTAAACCTTTAACCAGTCTGAAAGTAGGTCAACAGAAATATTAAACAGAAAAAGTTAGCAATAAGTTTGAAGAAAGTAAGACAATAGCAACTATAATTAGTGCTTGAACTACCGAAGGTTATTGTGCCAAATCTTATAGTTAAGTTATAGGCATATCTTATACCACCTAAGGTATATCTTAAAGCAAATATGTACAGTTCGAGTAATTAAAGCGACTTTTAAAATCTGAATAAGCACCGTGTAATTACTAGCAATAAATCTTATTTTGCAGTCTACCCAGCCACATGATAGGTCGATTCATGATATAAGTTGATCACTTCTGTTTAACCATATAAATGAGGAGACCCACACACCCTTAAATGCATATACGGTCCGTAAACGTACATATTTTAAGAAAAGAATCTGAAATGTTAACTGGTGTTTGTTTTACTAATATTCATGTATTTTGAAATGAACGTGTACACGTCAGTCAATCGCAGTCCTCACAAGAAAACAAACTCGGGTTGCCTGTAGGGAGCAAAACCACGCCAAACTTTTGGCGAAAGTCATAAAATAACAGGCGCTAATAAGAAAGCCGAACCGGGAAACCTAAGAATAAAAGAGATGAGAATTCCAAAAAGAATATAAGAACAAACACTTCAGTGAGTAGTCCCTTTTCGGGGAATTTATTCCCTAATCTGTACAGTCGCAATTATATATAATTATTTTAGTACGTGTGTATACCTTAGTTTTATCAGAAAAGAATAAAAGAAGTCATGTGTCATAAAGGAAAAAACTCTAAAACTTGTCGTTTCCCTGTGTTAGATCCAGTTAACTTTCAGAAAAACACTTTAGGGTCAATCCTAACAAGATTTCGTGCATTTCAGTACAGAATGAGACAGGCTGGTCACTATAACTTTATACACGCCTTATTATACCTAGAGAATTCAGCAACCACCAGAGACATAAACATACCAATTAATATCATATTAACTCATAATAAAACATTTATAAGATCTCATAGTGCATTTTTAATACCAATATTCATGTCAAGATCCGAATGTAGCTTTGTCCTTTTGAAGGATTGTGATGAATGATGTGACACAAATTACCATATTAACTTGACTTTTTCCTAGTGACCAGGATAAGATATGAAAATAAGCCCACCGCCCCCACATTTGCACTTGGAATAAACACTTAAGAGCAGTAGAAACATGGTAATCCCAAGCTTACAATAACGCGGAAATAATGCTATCGAAATCCGAAGTAACGCTATTTTACAAGGTACTGCAACGATGCTTAAGTGACATGACTTTCTTCGCCATATAGCTATTATTCACATTAGTTCAGCAGACATCGAAGTTTTATCGGTACTATTCAAGCACTGGGATAGGTTAGTTCGACACGACTATGATAATTAGCCCTATGAAGTCAATAACACAAAACTGTCACATAGACCGACAGAAAAATCCACCTGATGACTGGTTAACACCACACCCCAAAACAGTTAGAGTTGAATCCAACAAAAGAGTACATTCAGTCAAGAACGCAGATCTAAAACAGCAGAAAACGTCATGTCATCAAAGACTCTAGTCTTAAAACTCCAGCTAACTGTCGGACATTTCTTAACAAAGGCATATCCCAAGACTTCTATCCGACATACTATGTCCAAAAAGGATTGGGGGCTAAACAGAAAGCCAATAAATCATACATCGCCCATACATGTCACACTAGATGCACATGGAAGGAACGGTGATAATGATGACCCCTAGACTCTCCCGTAAACAGCAACCACAGAGACTCGATCACTAAATAATATTAAGCAGAACTTTGCCATTACACCACAAAAGTTTTCCACTAGTTAATAGCTGACTTGTGGCTTACTATCCCCCTTAAATAAATCTTTCCTCAAGCTATACATTTAGTGGCTGAATCGTCTGTGACACGATCATAAAGCAGATATATCGACAATTGATTTGTACCTTCACACGGATGATACAACATGGACCGTTCCTATGAACAATCTGAAGGTGTGACGGGACTTCAAGGGATTTAATTATTCCAAATCAATGAGTTAGTTGTGATTACTAATTATTTAAGTTACCCAAGTTTATGATTCACAATATGTCTGTTCACCTGGGCCACTATTCCTTAACCAGATTACTAATATTTCATTAAATTCACGAATTTAGTTTTGGATTTTTTTAGTTGAATTTAACCATAATTACTAAAAACAAACCCACGCATAGATATTTTTGAAATGAGAAGTACGTAACACTAACTGCACAGATAGACTAAAACAAAGTAATATCCAATATCGTTTTTACAAAATAGTGTAAACTAAACTTATTGGCCTCAAGGTAAAGGTTCCTGGTCTTCTGTGTGGTTCGCCCTGCCACTCTATTGTAGTAGCGTTGGTTAACTCCAAACCACACACAATCCCATTACCACTCCTTTTGGAGTTAACTAAAGCTACCACAGTAGGGTTTCAGGATGAGCCACACAGAAGTTCACCAAAGACCAGGAACCTTTACTTTGATACCAACAAGCGAAGGCAAACAAGCCAATTTAG